GCCATGAAGATCTTTTGTGACCTACATGTGGCAGGCCAACCCATTTATATCCGCAGCATTCGGCGGCAGCCTCGAGTATGCCGCTCTTAAAGAGTTGCCACTCGGTTTCATCATCAGTTGTCATCACTGGGATCTGTTGAAACCGTCGTGCGATGTTGTTTGCAAATTTCGCTTTCATGTCCACCGAAGACAATGTTTCCCATTTGATTCTCCGGTTGCTTCTGCCACTGGATCTGCGCATGGTACTCCATTTCTTAGAGCGCAGCGTGCTAACAACAAGTTGATGATCGGTTAATAGCTATGGGCCTCTTTTAACACGAACATCCATTACTGAGCGTTTTAGGTTAGACGATGCGATTATCAAATCGATCATCGACTTCAGTTCACAAGCTTCCCAGTGCTAGGTGTACTGATGCACTTTGTTTTTCCTTCATGTTCAAATTGCTATCTTGGAATTTCATAGAAAATGGATCCATTATCTATATATTTCCGTATCTGGGGTCTACTTCATTTGGGAAATGACGACCGAAAGAATCAGTCAGCGACTGTAAATGCTATCTAACGAGTCATTGCATGTCGGTTGAAATTCTCCTGTTTATATATATAATATAATCATCAAATTTTCGGAACATTTGCAGATCTTCATCAGCCAATCTTGTTTGCCACAGCAATATCTTCTTTTGAAATGCATTCATTTTGCCTCGCATTTATGAACGCGTCCGTAAGATGATCCTGCAAGGATGTGTTGAGCTCGTTTGACGGAAGAATTATCTGCCATGTGTGCCAATTTAGCTAGCCAATCATTGTCGGACAAGAGATCATGGAAGCTCGAACTATTTTGCTACTTAGCGCATATCTAACAATCAGGTTAGTACTTTGCCCTTCGACAGCCATCTCACTTCAGCATGAGAAAGGCCATGAATATGTTGAGGGCCTATTTCTTTACAAAATGCTTCAAGTTTTCGAGAATTGAGGGCTTTCTGGCGAAATGCGATTATAATTTTAATTACATCAGAGAGTATATATATCTAGGGATAATATTTTCATCACAAGTCGCTCATGATGTATAATACGGTGAGTAAACAAGATGTCTGAGGTTATAACGTTTTTCGTTTTTGCAGCAACTTCTGAACGATGTACAGTCATGCTTGCGGCACAGCCTTTGCATATCCCAACACATCTCTTCCATTCAATACTGTATTTCAGGAAATAACCATTAGCGGCATTGGAAATTTTAGAGCACGTTGTTCTTGTTCTACCATGCAATTCTAGCGAACAGAGGAGCTCTTTCTTCATTTCTCCTTGGCGATGAAATCTCACAAAGCGAAGAAGTCATTTGTTAGTTATGTCCGTTGATTCGTCGAATTGAATTGAATAAAACGCAGAACTTTCCACATGTGCGATCACATGATTTTCAGTATCTTCTGCCATGTCTTCGATTCTGCTCTTAACAGTGCTGGCGGAAATAGGAATTCCTTTCCGTTCTGGACAGTCTGTAAAACCTGTTCCCTACGACCCCTTCAAGGCTTGTAACAAGCAAGGCTTAATCATTTCTTCTTTAATCGTATGCGCCTTTTTACGTTTCGCGATCTGTAGTTCCATCAAATATGATTTCAATAGGGACTTATCTTCAACAATCATTGTTGCTAATAATCTTTTTTGTTTTTAGAAATTTTCATGCGTCCTTTGGAAATATTCAATTTGCTTTTTAGCGAAAACAGAATGTCGTGACAGCCACTGCCTGCCGAGTTTCTAAGGTTTTATAGCATCGTGGGAAAAACTCTCAGAACTCAGAACATACAAAGCGGCCGTGGATCCATTTCACTTCAAGGTTCTTGTATAAATCCAAATTTCATGTAGTCCGCATCATATTTGATTGAAAATTTCAACTTTTTCCCCTATCCGCCTCCATTTCCAATGTGCTTTACGGTAATGCTTTGCGGTTTCCTGATTCATGAACCAACTGATGATAATGCGATGTATTAGCTGAGAACCTCAAAATGCTAGCTTTTTTTTCTTTTTCATTGCGGTTATTTTGTTTGAATCTAAGATCAAGCTAGAAATAGCGTGGTTATCGCATACTTTAACTCTGATGATATCTCATGAAATTAGAATTTGTGCAATTTGAATAGCAAATACCACTAGTGACTTAAGAAGGGTATCTTATTTAACAACCTGTATAGCGTTGACGAAAATTCATTTCTTGAATAAGCCAACCAAACAAAACAATTAGGTTAGAATCGTTATTGCTGAGCAGATGGACTGTTGACGGTTGATGTACTACTAACAGTGCATAGTAATGTTGTTGATCACGGCGTAGGTCGCAGACACTAGGACAGATGTTAAAGTAGGTTTTATCTGTTTTTCGCCATTTGTGCTGTAGCATGCCGCCATACTCGTCGCTATTGGCAAGTCTTGCGAACTGCGCCTTGACTAGGCTAGACCATCGATAAGAAATAGAAATAGCTTTCTATATTTTTTACAACATAAGCATTTTGAACACCTGTTATTGCACTGCATCTTTTATAAATATGCACGTAATAAGGCGAAGATTGAAAAAATGTAGAATCAGAATATAATGAAACATGAATTTAATAAAAGCGAAAATGATGGCTTATAAATCCCAAACGGAAGACGATGTACAAAATGCTCTTTAATTAGCGCCGTTAGCATCATCTCATTTCCCGCATAAAGCAATTATGTACCATCTTAAACTCAAAAATTGCAAACATATTCAAATTACTCTGCGAACCATCGAAATTCAACCGCGAACCACCGGCTGCAAACCACAGATCCAGACTTCGTGTTCTGTACTGGTTCAAGAAGTCATGAATAAAGGATTTGATATTTCACAGCTTGAAACGCGATCGCTTTGATCATAGCGCGGGCACCCGATCAGTGGGGCAGGAGGTCATTGGCACAATTTGTGCTTAGGTTGCTTAGCACGCAAGAACACGGGTTGAAACGTTGCGAGAGTCGAGAATCCTCGTGTATTAACTGAAAATTCCCTACAGCAAAAAATTCTCCCTATTGTGCTTCGGTGCAATCTGCCGTCAAAGGAATTGCAGGGATTTCGTTGTCTTGCGAATAACACGAGAACATGCTTATATGTAGTCATGCTAAAACACGCAATCCACACGGTCATGTCGCTCATGCATGTGTTTTCCGAATGCAGTTCGCCTTAAACTGCCTAATCGCAGACTAATAATTAGCTCAAGATGAAACATAAATTTAAATAGCTCATGAGATTACCATAATTTTCCTTTGCTTAATTTTGCACTTTGGTTCAGACAAGTGTCAAGTGTCACTGTGACAAGTTTTCAGCCGTGTCTCACTAACAGAAGAGTATGAACTCTTTTCTCCATTAAGTTTGCAGAGCCCAAATGTTCAAAAGCTTGATTCTCCATTGGGACACCTGTTGGAAATTTTTAAATTACAACGGCAGTGTACAATCTTCTGTGCCAGTGGCCTTACCCATGATCACAAACATAACATCTTTTTCGAGGGAAAGATTGAATTAATGAACGTATGACATAGGCAAGGCGTAGAATTCGGCAGACCAATCAGTGAAACAACATGTGTGTTTCAAACAGTGAAACAAACAGTATTTCTATTGCCAAATTCACAATACTGCTGGAGGATGGTTCGAGAAGTAGTAATGAACGATCTGGCTTTAGGTTTTATTCTAGCGGCTGATTTTCAGTGTTGCATATTCACTTGATATCTAAAATATCATAAGTGTAAGAAATCTTCGATTCAAGGGATCAGAATTGTCCGCTTTCTTCTACAGTAATACATCGACTCGCAAACTCGCAGTTTCACGCGGATTTTTTTCGTTTTGCAAAACACTGCCGCCGTCTATCTTCAACGCTTCTCTTGCTGTGATGCGCATTGGACGCGATTCACGCGCGAACTCTACGTGGACGATTATGACTCTACGATCGACGAGTTAAGATTGTTTTGTTATGCATTTTCTAATCCCTTAAAGAACTGTCGTCCAAGCGAAGTAAATCTAATTCTCCTGAACTTAGTAAGAAAAGAAAAACAACATCTTTGGAATTGAAACTTAACATTATCAAAAATTTTGATAGCAGAATTAAAATCAGCGAATTGGCAAAGAAGTTGGAAGTACCGGAATCCACAGTAAGAACAGTCATAGAACATAAAGAGAAATTCTCGATCTGGTGAAGAATGCTCAATCCTTAGACTCATGTATAATTTGTAAACGTCATGGTATTATTGCTGAGATGCAAACAATGCCAAAAGTATGGTACAGTATTCCAGTAAAAAGGAAGAATTGTCCTGTCGATCAGAATACAAGTGTACAATTAAGCTAAGCTGATTTTTGGGAGGTTGAATGCAGAAGCTGGAGAGGCGGACGATGATGAAAACTTTGTAGCTAGTAACGGATGGTTCTACCGATTTAAAACTCACTGTAATTGGCACCGCATCGCGGAAAGTGGAGAGACGGGCAAGTGCCGATAAGAAGGCTGCGTCTTCCTTTCCTGAGACACTTAAGGCCATGGCAGAAGAGGGTTACTATAGCAGTGAAATAGTATTGAACGTGCGTGAAACTGGCCTGTCATGGAAGAAGATGCATAAGAGAACTTTTATCGTACATGAAGAAAAAGCTTTCTAGGCTTTAAAATTTATAAAGACCGATGATTGGCGGGAATGCAACTGGTCACTGCAAGTTGAAATCTCGCTTAATTTACCGCTCAGAAAACTCGAGAACCTTAAAAAATATATCTATAATTAGCTTACCAGTGATCTGAAGTCAAATCATACAGCTCAGGTGACAGTTTCCGTTTTTGAGGACTGGATTGGTCAACACTTCATACCTAGGTCGAATGTAATTGCAAGTCTAAACAGATTCCATTTAAAGTAATGCTTGTAATTGACAATGCATATCACCCTAATTGATTTCGACCCACTTGTGAAAGTTGTGTTTTTGCCTCCAAACAGAACTAGCTTGCTTCAACCGATGGAGCAGGGAGTTAGCAGAACATTCAACGTTTACTACACGATGCGTTTGTCTGCACATCTGAATGAAGTTATGAAGTAAAACAGCGAGACATCTGTTAAAGACTTTTGGAAATAATTCAATGTTTTAGATGCCGTAAGAATCATTAAATAATCTTTGGATGAAATTTCAAAAAAAGACGTTGAATGATGTATGGAAGAAACTTTGCCTATTTTATTTTTTAAAAACGAAACGGAAACAACGTCAGAAACCGATATTATCCCTCATGTGATAGAAGAAGTTGTTACTCTTGCCAGGCAACTGCATTTGAAATTCCATGGCGATCATATGAACGAGTTGTTGGATTCACGTAGTGAAGGGCTAACAGTTGATGAGCTCATTAGAGATGCGCGAGCAAAACGTAACTGAAGTATTCAATACTTCAGATCCGGTTCCATCAGAAAAGCACATGATAATTGCAAGCTTAACAGAAGGTCTTAGCTCAATTGAAAAGGGCTTAAAAATGTTTGAAAACATAGGCTCCAACGAAGAACGCCTTACAGCTACAAAGCAAAGAATGAAAAATTATTAGCTTGCTATAAAAAATTTCTCCGTGAAAAAAAGAAGGCATTGTGTCGTCAGACGAATTTGTTAGATTTTTTGAAGCCATAGATATCGAAATAACATTAATATTTTGTATTGTTATGCATAAGGAGCTGCAATTTTCTTAAATATTTTGTTTCTCAACTAGTCTTTTTGTTTGTCCTTGGTCCCAGTTAAACAGAATTTGTATGTATTTATATGCAAATTTTTAACCCGACTTGCTCAAATTCGACTTAGGCGATTTTCGTTGGACCCACCTATCATGTAACTTCGGGGTATCTACTGCATGTCAAATTAGAGACTCTCATAAACTTGTGTAAAGGCCATGAAAGGGAAGGGCAACGATTAAACAGCAATGAGATGACCCAAGTATAATGAAAGTGAAGATATGTTCTGCTTTGGAATGCAGTCACTGAAGATGCCTGTCTGGCGGATGAATGGGCACGTTCATGGAGACTGATAAAATGGAAAGTAATATCTTGAACAAATAAGGGCTTTTCTATCCTTGAAGAATAGTTGTCCATGAAAAAGCATATCCTGAGGCAGTACGTTATATGGCGTTGGAGGTAAAATTGCGGTTGGTAGAATTTCATAAAGTTGAAGTGTGAATAAACCAATATCTCTACACTTCATCGATGTCTTTCATTTTGATCCCGAATGTAAGAAATCTATGTAAAAATGTTTAGAATTGATATTCAGCACGATTTAGACAAAAGCTGGCCGCTTTCTGAATTGCCTTCCTGTAACACTGCTTCTAGGTTCAGCGTATTTTTGACTTTAACTACATGGTGCATTTTACCCATTTTACTGTGATATAGCACACTGTGGACAAAGTAGGTGTGTTTCTCCTGAGGAAAAAATTCTATCATGAAAAATCGGAAAAACGAACGGTGTTGCTAGCCAAAAAAGTTTATTGATCGATTTGCATGCCGCTATATCTGATTCGACAACATTTAATGCACCTCAAGAAAATAAATTTTAGAATTAAACCTGCAAATCAACATCCATACAGAGTTACTTCTAGTTACCCGCTATACGGGTGCTTCTTCTGCATTCGGGTTCGTTAAATTTAAAC